TCTTGTGGAGGGAAAGGATTCCTCTAAGTCTGTGCGGGGAGATGACAAAACAACAAGGTGGCCGAGGTTGTAATTTCACCTTGATCGACTTCTCTGATCAGACTCCGTCTTTTATTTCCATTATTATCAGTTGATGGTGTGGGCCGGACACCGGAGCCACCCTCTTCTTTTGGATCACGGTCCCGATGTTTGCGGCATATTACAAACTAGAGGTGGGAAAGTCATTACATTTTCTGTGTGATCGGAAGTAATGAAGTATAAATAAAATATCCCAGAGCTGAAAACGCAGCAGCAGCACAGAAATCGAGCCTTGTTTTAAAAATCATGTGACAGAAATTCACCAGGAGCCTGTTTCTGTACATATCAGCTGTGACTCAGTAGTGAAACATAAACTGGCCTCAGACAGAGGTCTCTGTCCAACTGAGTTTCTTCTTTCCCCCTCCTCCTCCTCCTCCTCCTCCTCCTCTCTTTGCTGTCCTCTGGCATCCAACAGTCACAGATGGTTGGTAAACATCAGAGAGCTGTATGCAGTCTACTTACAGCCGGGGGAGTATATCAAGTATTTATCAATATTACATCTATAAACTTGTATCAATACCTCAAGCTGTTGTTCTTTCCCTTATTGCACTAATTGAGACAAAACAGTCTGTAGGTGTGAATGATTGATTGTCGCACTGATGGACGTATGGATATTCTTCAAAACGGTGAAAAAGATTTGTCCAGATAATCAACTGACGGTAAAATACAGTGAAGCTGCCGTGAGAGAATGCAGTATATACATATTATATATTAAAGGTGTAAAGAACATTATGGCAGTGAACGTGTTGCCTGAGCGACGCAACCTTAAGCCGAAGATAGTCCACGAGGTTCAACTGTGACTCATTGCTCTAAGTGCAGGTAATTACTGAAAGTGACCTGAGCATTTGTAAAGTGCTGCTGCCCTATAGAATATTGGCAGTGCAAATTATCGGGATCAAATTGATATAATAATATATAAAAATAAAGTGAGTGAAACCTTTAGAATTATTTTTTCTGTGTCATTAAACCCCATGGAGGCTGATAGAAGCAGGTGAACTCCTTTTCAAATTATATCAGAGCTACATCGACTTTTTAAAAGCCACTCAAAACATTTCAGTTTCGCTGTTCACAGAAAAAAAAGCATCTGCTGACGTGAAACAGGCCTCACACACAACCTCGCACGACTCTGGACCAAGAAGCGCTGATTTGAATAAAGCTGGGAGCGGTTACCAAGTGATTTCCAAGAGTTTACATATTCATCAGTCCACACTTACAGAGACAAACTCGGTATAGGAGGAAAAAGATTTCGGTCTGCGGCTAAACTCCCTGGAAGTGGGCGTCCAGTTAAGATGACTCCAAAGGCATCGTGCAGAAAAGCTCGGTGAGGTTAAAAACAACCCGAGCAGCAACTTCAGGCTAAAATAATAACTGGAGCTGGTTATTGCAAAATCGTGTTGCACGCAGCGTGGAAGAGGACGCGTCTCTTCGAAAACACATCGCGTGTGCCTGTAGAGTGACCTCAGAGAGCCATTCACAGAAAAAACTATCAGAACACGTCTGAGCTGTTTTGTCGGCAGAACGGTTCAGTTCTTCTTGAACATCGTGCAGGTTCTGATCTGCAGCGAGCGCAAGCTCTCGTTTGAAGTTATCGCTGCCGTAGGAGGTTTAGACATTTAATAAATCCAAGGGTTCTGCAGCACTGCAGAGATTCAGGTCTGTTCAGACACAGAAGATTGTGATTGTGTTGTTAACGTTAAAGCGAGCACATTTTGATTGTTTGCTTATGAAGGTATTCGAGATAAACTCTGGTTTTTAATAACTTAAGCCTTTTGAACTGATCTGCAGTTCAGCTTTACTCTTTGTTCCCACTCACCAAAGTTACAGATGTTCAGGGTGAGGAGTGAGAATGAAAGAGGAAACATTCTCCATATTCACAAAACTGGTTTTGAAGCTGCTATTTCAAGAAAAAACAAAATGCATTGTGTCACTTTAACAAGATTTTGATCCACTGAGAGCTTCACGACGAAGGCTGGACATAGTTTGTCTGTCGTGACGACACAACGGACCATAGTGGAGCATTATTATTATTATTATTATTATTGAGTGACTCAGCGAACACACCAGCTACACCTGGAAATACTCACAATCCAACATGCGTCCTTATCGCTCGGCAACTCCCCTGATTCCAACCTCCTGTATCTTCATATTGTTCCGCTCTCTGCTGCTCTTTCAGCCCGTGATGTTTGTGTAATGGTCCTCAACCTGTTGACACTTTTATCACCCATAGATTTGGGAAGGCAGCAGTCGCCATATGCATCATTGGTTCGCACTTTGCCGATCTTGATTTATTGGCTCTTGCCAAGGAAGACATCGGCTAAATTAGAACTCTGACCGGAGGCAAAATTCCATTTAGGGGCCGCGGCTCGTAGAGTGCTGCCCGGACTGAAGTGGATATATGTTCTCGTTGTAGTTGTGGAAGCGAACTGCCCTTATGCACCAACCTTTGCTCTCTGTATTGAAATGATTAGGTGTATAGGAAGGTTTAGAGGATCAAACTAGAACCCAGTACTTCCCCACGCAAAGAAAATGGGCATCAAAGTAATTGGGCCTGCACACACGACCTCAGATATGCAAACACGGCCTGATTTCTTCCTTCGGTGGCCGAGTTTCCTTTTTGCTTCAATTCAGCAACTGATTAACAACCTGATTCAACAGGATCTTTGACTCCTTATGTAATTACAGGCTTGATATTTTCCACGCAAAGGACAGTCTGCTCTCATCAGGACTCAGGCGTGCAATCAACAGAGGCTTTCTAATTAATCATTTATTTGCGAGTCCAGGCTTTGATTAGCTGTGGCCTGAGGACCTTGGGTGTTCAACTTGTTAAATAACTTGTACTCTCTGTGTATGGCTGTGCATTTCATTGAGTTTTAAAAAATATATATATATTTATACATTCATACGTCCTTCGTCGTACTCAATATTAAATGAGTAGAAAATACACCCTGGTTGTTCTGAGCTGAACCGCGGGATCGGCGAGAGTTGTTCCACTGCTCGTCTCCTAATGGACTTTAGAGGCATACACGTTTTCTAGTCATGTCGTATGTCAGCTGCCTGATGGAGGTCTAGTGAAGAGCTCGCAGGGCTGACATCACAATTCATTATGTAACAAACACACAGAGAGAAAAATAAAACGTGCAGCGCTCCTTGGTCGATAAAAATCTTTGTTTAATGGTCTAAATAAAGTCGGCCGATATGGTGGATTCATGAAAGACTCACGGTGGGTAGTGTGCCGGTTGTGATGTGTACAGGAAATCATCATCGAAATCATTTTGTATAATTTAGATGGAGATGTGGAAAAAATTAAAATCGCTCAAAATATACAACATATCATGAATCACTAGATTAATTCAGCTACTGTTTCTGTTGACACACTTGGCTTTGTTGAAACTTCAGGGTAAAACTTTGACTCACATAGATGAGAGACATGATGGAAACATGTTCAAGATTAAATGTGAATTTTCAAAGTTCAAAGTGACTCGGCTCAACCTGTGGCTGCTGGTTCTTCTTTGAGTCATGAAAACCAACGAACTAGATTAGATATAAACAACGTGGACGGACTGGACTCTTCTATTTTACGGTTTATAAACTAATTGGCATTCAACAGAAAATAAGAATTTCAATTTAACTTTATTTTCTCTCCCCTGACACATCCGGCTGCTTTGCTAACAAGTCTTCCATGCTCAGCCACACTTGTATATTTATATTATAATGGGAGCGACCACCAACATATCATCTACATACAAGCGATGAATTATTTATTTCGCTGCACATGAATTGCATAAATCCTGTTTGAGACGATTGTGAGGTGTGCTGTGGAATTCAAAGGTTGCGCTCACAGCTCATTGATGTGCACCTACGAATATGAGACGCACAAAAACCACCACCGGTATGTAAAGTGTTGGGTGTGCGCAGTGAAAATGGATCTGTTGTGTGGAGCCTTGGCATTTCCCTGAGGAAATAAAGTATTTCTTTACATGTTTTATTCACGGGTGAAAATGAAATAGTTTAAATGATGGTGTTACAGTGGTGCCCTGGTTTGGAGATTTCTGTGGTATTGTTAAATATATTTTAAAGTTTAAAACTGCAAACCCAGCTGAGCGATTGGCATGAAAGTCTTAATCCTCTCGGTATCAATTATGGCTGAACAAGTGGCTCAGTTTGTCCTTTATTCCTCCCTCGCCTGGTGAGGAAGAAGGCAGCGCTCCACCATCTTTAACAGTCTTGTAAGGATTTCCCCCAAAACTTTAATCTCTAAAGATGCATTTCTTCAGTGATGCTCGGGTACAGACGAGCCTGAGAGCAGAATATTCAATAAAGTAATGTCTGATTTGGATGTTGGTAGTTTTTTGAAGCTGAAGAATAGTCTGGGGACGAGGGTAAAGCACAGCACTGCTGCAAAAGGATAATTGTATACATACACCATAGTATTGTAAATACACTTTGTAGATTATATCAGTGTATAGGAGGTACACATGACTCGGGTCGGGCATCTTTACAGTACATTAGTTTCAAACTAGATGATAGAAGTTGATTTCGCATTAATTTCTGTTTGCATTTGTTTATGTTGTATAATTTGATATTTTAAATGCGCTGGTGTCAGATCGGTTCCGTGTATCGGCTCGATATCGAGGAAGGAAAAAATGGTATCGAAACATCTGGAACACGGTTAATCTAAATTAAACCGATTATTGCCTTTATGTAAACGAGTCCACCGCTCGCTTCTGCAGTGATATGAACACAAACGTAGTAGAAGTTCTTTCACCTGCAGCTGTTTCACACAATTTCACCACAACCAAAATAAATGCAAAAAGCCACGAATCATCCTCTGACACCATGAATCAAAAACAACCTAAGAAGTTATTTTTTGCTCTGTATTCACACTCCCCCCCCCCCGTCTCTCTGTGGTTTTTTCCTCGCAGCTTCACTCGAACTCGGATAAAGGTGACGGATCCGTCAGGTACATCCTGAGCGGGGAAGGAGCCGGGACTATATTTGTCATTGACGAGGTGACGGGAGATATTCACGCCACTAAGAGCCTGGACCGGGAAAGGAAAACGCATTATGTTCTGCATGCACAAGCCTTGGACCGCTACACAGAGGAGGCCCTGGAACCAAAGTCAGAATTCATCATCAAAGTGCAAGACATCAATGACAATGCACCCAAATTTCCAAATGGACCCTTTGAAGCGTCGGTGCCTGAGATGTCTGAAGTGGGTGAGTAGTGCTGCAGTGTAAAATGGGCCCTCAGATGATCGCTTTCCTCATTCAGGCTTTAATTGAACGGCTTGAAACGTGCTTCTAAGCTTGAGTGTTGTTTTCTTATTGATTCTTCATGTTTATAATAAAAGTATTGCAGCCAGACCTGAGATTTAACATCCTGGGCACGTGATGTTCGAACTCATGAGCGAGAGCACCTGCAGGATGTTTGTGAAGAAGGTATCAGTGGTGCAAACATGTTATTAACCTGTGCAGCGCTGGTTTGTCCCTTCTGTGATAGTGTTCTTTAGAATGGCTGATCTTCTGTAAGCCCGCCCAGTCCTCTTTTTCATCTTTGTTTTGCGGGGCTGTGATGTTTTCCCGGGTGGGCAGGTCTTTATAAAGCTCTCAATACTGCCTCCGCAGCAATCCCTGCCACGAGACAGCGGAGTCCTCCACATCATGGTGGAAAGAAAAGCCTCTATCCACCTCCTCTGAGACAGCCGCTGCCCGGCATCATGTAGCAGCCATGTATTTTTCATTTCTTTATTCTACTGTTCTGTTTTTAGCTCGGCCGAACAAAAGCCGCCATTCGCCGGCCCTCTCAGCGCAGTGGCTCAAAACTACAACGCTCAAATTTTTCACAGCGCCTCCTTAAGAACAGATACGGTGGCCAAACTGCTGTCAGTGGGATTTTCTACCTCGAATGCACTAGAAGATAGTGAATCTGTGGCGCTCGACAGTTTGGTGAAAACATTCAATTTATATCTGTGTGTGAAATAATCCCGTCAGCTGCTGAAAGGAAGTAGAAGTACTTATTAAAGAAAACCAACAGCATCGTCACTTTCTTGCAGCGAAAGAGATGTAAATGTGCAAAACCCGATTAGCTATGCAAACCCTGACAGACCTGTAGGCGCCCCCTTTATAAGCAGTCGATATCTCCCTGGTTGCGCTCATGAATATTCATCAACGCACGGGCCTGACACACATACAGCTTTAGTAGTCGGTGCATTAGTCTTAATTTGCACTGCACGTGAATGTTATATTTTGGGTGGTGTTGCTGCTGTGAGACACAAACATGTCTTCCTCTATTAAACCTTTTGAATTATTAGCTGCAGCTCTTTAGCTTCATATAAAAGTAACAGTTGCATTGCTAATCGGTGCATTGACATCCCCCGTGCAGCTCCAGCGAGGCCGCTCCTTTCAAAAGTTTCCGTGTCGGCTGCAAACTTTATCGTGGGTTGCACCAAAAAGAATCAATCACCACTGATGACCCGTGGGAGGAAATCAAGGACTGTGAAGGGGAAAATAATTAGCCCTTTTTTTTTTCTTTCCCACCCCCTCTTTTGCTCATGCCTGTTAGAGTAACTCCTTTTCGGTTCGGTGTCTGCGGCGTCAAATCGGCTGTAACAATCAACTGTCCTCACACTCCACGGCACTAATCCCCCAGCATTTGTCAATACTGGGGCTCCCGAGTGCAGGAAGGGGCTGTCTGGGAGTGTGGCAGCTAATTGGTTGTGATGTTCTTTTTTTTTTTCCTGTTTGAATTGATTAGCTGGACCAGGTGATCTGACGCTACGTTTCAAAAACCTCCTTTACCGTCATATTTTCTGAGTGGGAGATGAAAGCTCCGTCAGTTTAGCACCCTTGCATGTGTCCCAGTAGATGATCTGGAGTAAATGGACGTAGCTCTGCTTTCCTGTCGGACTAGTCCACCTCTGTTTGATTGTGGTGGCTTGTTTAAATAATGAATTATAATTAATTGGGTGTTACTGCAGCTAATTTTCAGAAATTGAGCCGGTTGCACACATGTATTAGAGTTGAACCCTTTGCAAATTAAACTAAAATGGAGATTCAGGGATTATTTATTTACTTTCCCCAGTTCCCCTCTCAACTACATGCTGCTACTCATCATACAACACCAATCATTTTGTTGTATTCCCCCCACACTCCCATATTTTCTCAAATGTTCTTATTGCACATTTTGTTTTGCTTTTTAAAATGAAAGTCTGTTTTTATTTCTGGCCACTTTTCCAAGTATTGACGTCTCTCATCCCATTAAGATGACATCTTCTTCCAGCCCGTTGAGTCCGAGGCAACATCTTGCAAACAAATCTCTGCTTCGTTAGTGAGGAAATACTTTAGCTTAGCTACTTTAGCGAGAACCCACTGATTTTAAAACACTTTCAGACTCCGGCCGTGATCCCTGTAAAGGCTGCATTATGTGTTGTGGTCATGACGATGAGTTCAGAGTCAGCAGTGATATATCTGCATCAAACCCTGAAAGAGGTGATGAAAGTAGACGATTCACAGAATGTGAGTGGGTTTATAATAGAGAGGATGATCTGGGAAAGTCCAGCCGTGTGCATATATCATGTTTTGAATTAAATTAATCCTTAAGACACTTTTTTTCAGCCGCCGGCTCAGAATGAAAAGAGTTGATCTCTGCTCCTACAGGGTCGATATAAATAATCCTGGTTTCTATATAAAGATGAGATTTGTGTAAGTGTAAACATCAGAAAAGATGTTAAAAGGTCAGAGTGAAGAAGATGTGAGGGTTCCAGCTACAGGTTATGCTCCTTCTTATGAGACAGACGAGTCTTGTTGCATGGTGGTCGCTCCGAGCAGAGTCTTATTGAGTTTATGAAACTGATTTGAAATGTTCATGTTCAGCAATCGGTGCGTGTGGACTCCTGAGTGCTCAGCCTTCAATGTCTTGAACCATCGGACCTATTAAGGATGTACCCATCACCTCAATTGTACCAAATAAATAATGCTTGAATACTTCAGTTGAAGTGCACGTCATCTATTAGAAGGTGTCTTAACGCTGAGATTTATATTGTTGCAGTCACATTAATATGAAAAAATTTACTGATGAAAACAGGTGGCACACAATTTCCTTACTTAAGATGTTACAACGGAGCAATTCAAAGTTCATCAATTAAACGATGCACTAACTAATGAGCTTTCCCAGACAGATGATTCGGGAACCAGCTCGGCCTCCGAAGCAAACCGAGAAATGATTAAGTCCAAATAATTCCCTGTGCAATCTTACCTGCGAGGTTGACAGAGATTCAAACTGCCCGAGCATTCTGTGGAGCACACGGTTCATTATGGCTGGCATTTCACTCTGCTCCTTCAGGTTCCCCCACGAAAAAAAAAAGAAAAAAAAAAAGAGTCATATCTGGCGGAACACAGTGGAGCAAGTTTCACTTTTAATTTAGTTTAATCCCCAAAAGGAAAAAACAGCAGCTCAAATGTCCAGAAGAGTTACAGTCCCCTCCAAAAACATGTCTCCTAACATCACCACACTGTGAATTCTTACATATAATAATCCATTATATAAGCTTGTAGTGCAATTACAATGCACGCGTCGCACAATTAGAATGGGTTAATGAAGCCTGTAATGCTGTTTGAGCAACACTTCAAGTGGTAAATTGAACCACAATGGTTCCTACACAATATTTTAAATAACATTGTTAATGACGAACCATCCCTGCAAGTGTTTAGATCATCTGTCGAGGTTGTCGTGATTTTTGCTTTTTACCATCAAAGCAAAACATGCCCGGTGATTATCTTTCATTCGACATAAGTCATTGCACATTGCAATTAGATTTCACACAAAACTCAATCATTACATGTAATTATTAAATAATGTGCTTTTTAATGAAGGTCACTGATGAAATCTGATGTTTACACGAGGGTAACATGTTATCTTTGTACGAAGGCACCATCATACTGTCATTAGCGTTTGAAAACCTTTGTGTGAGTGTGAGACAGAGAGAGAGAGAGAACGTGACTACCAGAGAATAATGTTGATGTTTCCACTTCTTTCAGGCACGTCGGTGTTGCAAGTCACCGCGATGGATGCAGACGACCCCACCTACGGAAACAGTGCCAGAATAGTCTACAGTATTCTACAAGGACAGCCATATTTCTCCGTTGACCCCAAAACAGGTGTGGCATTACTGCAAACATTTATACACAAAGCGAGCGCTCATAGATTGCGGCCGCGGGAGCAATAACCTCCTCATAATCTGTGTTGTGGATCTCCTAAAGCGACGTGTATATCACGGTGTCAAAATCTGTCCAGCATATGTTCCTCACAGCGAACACCCGGTTCTGTTACAGCAGCACGTCTGACATCATAAAAGCTCAAGCAGCCACAGTAGAGTTATGGACTACTCACGGAGCTGCTGTATTGTTGAGCACGCAGCCCCACTCTGTGGACCATAACTAACTCCTCAGGGGTCAGCAGAGACATTTGTGGAGAGGTCTTCAGAAAACCATTGTTTCCTGCCGTCGGAGAGGGAGAAGCCATAACAGGCACAGTACTCAGTGTTTTCAAATCCATCTTTTGTGTGTGGGTCCGTTATTAGATCTATTAATTGTTAATAAACCCTCTGAAGTGCACGTACCTTTTATATGATGGTGTGCGTGTTTCTGATCTCTCTTTGTCTTTACAAAGTGAGCGTGTAGTTGCACGCGTGTGTCGGAGGTTTTGCTCACTTGCCTCCTCTGCTGCTGCTGCTGCTGCTGCTGCTGCTGCTGCTGCTGCGGGTTAACGTGAACAACGATCCACTTGTATGAATTGATTCATTACTGTCTGGAACAACCGTCGGCCCCTGTGAGACCAAGCCGCCCATGTAAAACATGAAGTCTTTGCCGAATGAGCAACACAAATGAATTGCTGAATATTTTGACTTCACCTCGAGGGAAGCGGCAGTGGGGATTGATGGAGCTGTTTCACAGCGGTGAGGTGAAGCCGAGGCGATGCAAACTGGACGTTCTCACGCAACACGAGAGCAGGCTGCTGCCACTGAAATTCATTTTAGGTCACATTTCGACTGTAAAAAATATCCTAGCGTGATTTTCATTCCTGTGCTCTGTGCAATTGGACACATTGGATGGCCTGTGTTGCTGGAGCTGACTCTGCATCTTGTCTGCAGTATAATTCAGCGTGGGGCGTGCAGAGGAGGAGGGACGCGATCGAAGGCCTGGCCAGCTGCGCTCCCCGCACAGCGCCGTTCCTCCCACGCATTCTAATTTATATAAGTCGGCTGCTGTTTTCGCCACTGGCAGACCAGCCTCCCTCCCTCAAATTAGGGCAGGGTACTCCAGTGGTCAGTGGAAAATGAGCGAATGGAGGGAGTTGTACTTGCATGAGATCTTTATTATGCTGAGCCGACGTCTTGAAGCAGTCGTGCTGGCATCCTGCCACATTGGAGCATCGTGCCGGGGAAGCTGAGGCTGCTCCTGCATCTGTCTCACAGTGCATTAGCTTACTTACACCTCCTTATAGCCACATGTACCTGGCTCCCACCATGCTCAGACTGCAGAGACACCAGCACAGGGAGTCTGTATATTGCGAGCAGATTAACAGTGCACACACACACACAAATCCACCTCCTTCGATTTGACCTTGGTCTGGTGGCCTGACGCAGCAGCGGCTGATTCTACAAGACCCATGAGCCGGAGGGTTCGAGGACAGAGGGTAATGGCACAGTTGGCCTGGACATATGGCACTGAAGGAATCCCCAAAGGACGTCTCAGACTTGACCCAAATCCTCGGCAAGCAACAAAGTGAACCGTCGTCTTTCTGGCTCATCGGTTGTGGTAACGTCATCTCAAACCTGCCAATGACAAATGAACCACAATGACAGGATATAGCATTTATAAACCTTGCAACATGAAGGAGATGATGGAACAGGCTGACTTGGTAAAGAAATCATGAACTTGTGAAACTTTTCTCAAATACCTGTTAGTCATCCTCGTTGCCTTGCAGCTCCGAAAATTAAACCTTGTATCTTAACGACCTTAATCAAACTCTGGAACATCTGCTATTATTGCTTCAAGATGTTTTGACTTTATATCTTTTATTAACCTGAGATGCTGAATGACTGTGAGGCAAAAAAAATATTCTCAAACCGAAGCATTGTTTGAAAATGACGTTGTAAAATCGAATGGGTTTCCTGAAACACTTGACATTCACTGAAACATGAGGTCTTGTCTTTAATTGAGAATCATTGACATTGACTGGGAAACAATTAATTGAATTTAACTTCTAACATAAAATAAAACATGCAGGCCAGATTGATTCTAAACTAGCTGGAATAACTCACATTATGTTTATTATGCTAATTTCTCAAGTGAGTATTGGATTTATTTATACTTTTATATATTAATTTTATGTGTGTTTCATTATGTTTGATAGAGTTCTTGAAAGAGTCATGGTCACAATTTAATAGAAACAAATGCGGCTTCATATTTTGTTTATTTCATATTGATAGAAAGTATTTATTAGACCTCCTTTTAGAAAAAGAGGCCAAGAGGTAAAGAGCAAATGTAAAAGTGAAGATGCTGACTGAGGCAACATTTAATTGACATTGATGATCACAGGACTATTTGCTAAGAAATGGAAATTTCTCACAACCAGGATGTGTTTTGAGGAAATGGAATCCACGAGCAGAACACAGGAGCGAAGACAGGAATAGATTTAAAAGGTTTAATGTACAACTTCTCAGACAGAGTGAATCAATACCGGGACTGTTCTTTGATTCTGGTAAACTTAGAGGATCCAACAAATTTAACTCAAGAAATCTGGATCCAGTAAAATGAGGGTGCAGACAGGAAGAGGATAGATTCAGGCAGAGCAGCACGAATCTCCGCTCTCCCTCTCTACCTCGAGGCTTTGCAAGTCCAAGTTTAATATATTCATCGACGGTGGAGCTGCAAATTCATTTGTGAACTACCAGAAATTGTTTTGGAGGAAATATTTAAACACACTTATTCGCTTTGATGCTCAAGAGTAAAAAGTTAGGTGAGGAACGTTAGCACCGGGAAATACTCGCTGCCAAGGTAACCACAAATAATCTGGATACAACAGCCTCAAGAACTTGTTAATAAGTTATTTTATTCAACAACCCTATTACAGATGATGTGTTTATCATACAATCAAGATAAAATGTGGAAGTAAACTTTTATTACCCTTAAACAGCTCGCCAAGAATCCCGAGCTTTATATTGAGCAGCTTGTCAAAGCCTCCACTCTGCACAGACCTGTGTTCAACCAAATATCAAACTATTCTTTTGAAGCTCATGTTGCATTTTTATAAAGCCAAGAGTTTCCAACCACAGTCACAAATCCTGGCACGCTGTCCTTTGAGAAGGATCCAAAACCTCCTACCCGCTTGCCCGTGTCGCACTTGTCTGGGGATTTCGGTCAAAAACAAGAGCAGGTGCACGAGGACAACAGAGGGATGGACAGACAGGCTGGTCCTCTATCTGCTCACTGAATATAAATCACACAGCAGAAAAGTAAAAAAATGCCGGGATGCACGTTTTCCCTGGTTTACCGGCTCTGTCACTTTTTGTCCGGGCAAAATTTGGAAACCGGTCTTGTAATGTGCAAAGCTTAGTGTCATGCTAACCGTGTTAAGAATGTTCACTGCAATGGACTTGATTACATGCTTTGCAAATTTCAAAACTGCAAGCCTCGCAGATTTAACGAGAGCTTTCTGTATCTCAGCAAAAGCACATGGCTGCATTTATCCTTTTTATAGTTGGGTCATAACTCCTGTCTTTCCCATCACTGCTGTGCATCTGTCACTTACCCGCAGAGACATCGAGGGTGTTCCTCCTGAGTCTCATAGTCGAATGCCCTCCTACACCGCCACCTCACATCTGTACTCTCTCACACACACACACAGAGGCAGGCCCCAGCACACTGCACAACCCTTAAGTCCCTGTTTCATCCTAAATAGGCTAATTTCTCTGCTGATCTGGGATTTGGGAGAGTTTATTGAAGAAGCTGACACAGATCAAGATGTTTTCGCAGTTGGTGGATTAAGTCTTACTGCTGGTTCGATCAATGGAGGAGCTGTCACTGTGTCAATCAGCTGCACTGTAGCCTTGAGCTGTCCGGCCAATTCTACTCAATCAGATATATGATCCAGTTTGTGAAAAGAAGACTATTTAGACAGCGAGAAAGACATGTACGGATATTATTTGTGATTTTTTTACAGCTTCTGCTGTTGATGATATCTACATTTTCTCCAGAAATACTCCAAGAGGGCAGACATACAGGGATAACATCGTATTGGATGGGGCAAAAACCAAGATTCCTGAAGCTGGAGATTGAAGAGCGCTTTAGTAATCTCCTATAATCCTTTTTGTTCACCCAGGAGATTGTCCTCCTTTAGAAGTTTCCAGCCAGACAAAGAGGTGGATAGTGTGATGGTATCAACTCTAATAGACTGGGGAGGTTGAGGAAAAGGCTAACCACCTCACTGTGTCAAATGGGCCCAGGTTCAAGGAAGTCAGCTCTTTCTCAATTATTTTCTAAATTAACCGACTAGCTCCGCAGAGATTTAGTATCGAGGGGTGTTTCGGCTCAGAAATTGGTCAGGAGAGCGAGTTCAGGGGTGAGGCTTTCCCGTCAAAGTCCTGACATGCCTTTCAGGTACTTGCACATCCCAGAGAATACCCCTGTGGCCTTTTCTGTGTCGTTAAAAGAAATTAATTTGAGAATGAGTGATTGTACGTTTGTGTCTGAATGGTCAGAATCAGCAGATCCATCGTGCTGTTGTGGACGACGGTGGAATTCCTGATGCATGAAAAAGAAAATCTTTTATCTTGTGTTCAGTGTTTCTGAGGCCACCGCTGTGAAATATTGCTCAGGAGCGATGTGCATTCATGTGTAAAGGGGTAATAAGAGACTTGAAAGGTCAGATCATCTGTTCTAGTGTTGTTTTAATGGAAAGTTTGGCCACTTGCAAAGGTCTGTGTGTTTTCAGGACCCCAGGTTAAGTAATGTTAAGACTCCAGTTAATAACAAAGGACTTAGAGTTAGCGGAGGCGGCCTCATTAGAGGAAAGTGGCTGCGAGCACTTTGATGAGTTTTAAGAACTAAAGAAAAGCAGCAGAACCACTCTGAGTCCTGGCATTTGAAAAAGAACAGTGTGGCAAGAAATAGATGCTTCTGCTTTTTGGAAATCTTTTTAGTATTTCATTTGTCTCGCAACAAGAACACAGATATTCCAGAATATTTATACGTTGGACATATATATTCACATCTCGGCAGCTTTTAATTCACAGAGAATCCCGATAGTTCCCGAAAAACTGTGTTAATAATTTACGTGCAATTAAGTCAAAGTCGTGACATTTCCAACAAGGCAGCGTAGTGTTAATCTGTCTCATCAACTCTAACAGAACAGTCTGTCACTGTCTGCTTAGCATTTGAAAGGCATAATGTAGTGAGGTCAGTCAACTCCATTTAATTAGGATCACCATTTAACGGGAATTGGAGCTAAATTATAGAACCACATTCTAATAGCAAACAAATCTAAATGCAGCTTTAACTGAAATATATTTATATCATAATAAAGGAAGCTACCTGGCAGTCACAGCAAGTGTATTGACTTTGCTATCCTTTGGAATAAAGCCCCGCAACACATCAGAGTGTGTGTAGCTCGCTGCCCCACTTAACGGTTGTTCTTTTGCGAGCAGAACTAACGCGCACAAAATGGCACCACAGAAGAAGTAGACACTATCAGAGTTTGGTACATTAAACAGCCTGAACCTGAATATAGCTGAGAGAACCTCACAAGAAAGTGTCTGAGTCTGTTCTCTCTTTACGTCAAAACATCACTTAGCATGTCTGTGTCGCCTCGGGGGAAGAATTTGAGGACATTGTCGCGTTTTGCTTTCTTAACCAGTCGTCCCCGTTCTTTTTTTATAGAAGAAGTCTAGAAGCATCAACAACAAGCTTTAAATGAAAAAGACGAGGAATCAGTAGGTGTATTTCGTTTTCTCAGCTGATTCATAGATTCAGTCCTCGGGATCACGGGGACTCCATGGGACCTCAGCTCTGTGTAACAGATGATGCGTAACCTACGATCCCCTGGATCTTAATACTGTTGGCTGCCTCGCTCCTTGACCCAGTTTTAATGATTATTCTGCCTGAGGCGAGTGGATTAGTTTCTTTCTATAGAGTCATGAAGAAAGAAATGAGCTAATGACCTTTTGTAAAACACAACGATACCTGCTTCGTTGATGAAATTATGAAATCATGAAAACTGCGTTAATTTGCTCCAGAATTAAGTTGTTAAATTTAAGCTGTTGAGGTTTGAATTCAAAATGAAGCACAAGTACAAATGATCATTTACTTAGTCTGAAAAGCTTAATGATGTGTTTGAGAAATGTAAACATTACCTGTATTATGCCATTAGTTTGCTAAAATGTTTGCAATAAAATCCAGCTGTTTTAAAAAAACCCATGCGTAAGTGTTTTAGGGAATATTTCTCTTCTGAAGAACTGTATTTTTGTTTCCTAGGTTATTTTATTCACATCTTTCTGTGTTGAAGCTGTATGTAGTAATAACCTTCTGGATGTGTTCACAGTTTGTAATATTTACAGGCAAATGTTTGCACCATTTCCTAAGTGAACTGTCTGGTGGAGGGACGGTGTCGCACATGTTCAGTTAATACAATCAGCCCAGGATTGAGTGTTATTAGTGTTTTTTTTTACTCAAACCAGGATTAAAGAGTGATTTGACAGAAGGAACTCATACGGTGTTCGATTATCTCTTTGTCCGGTCAATATAAACCCTTCCGAAAATAATCGTACGAAAGGAATTGATTCATTTTCTAAAGCCACTTGCTGTGATTTCCACTTACAACAGGAGGTAAAGGCAAAGTCCATTTCATGTCATGATCAATGCCGTGTCGTGTCCTCCCGGGTCTCACTGCTCTAATTCAACCACTGTGCATTATTGCAGGGTTCACAAGTTCACAAGAACACAAGTTCAGTGGTTGCCAGAGGGTCTTGGCTCTGGGGAAAAGGGAGATTTACACTGAACACTGATGTAACAAATGGAACATATTAAATCAGGCTCCATGTGTTGATGTGGTTTCAGGAGCTGAGGTGGGGAATTAACCCTCTAGCACAGGAATAGACACACAAAACTAATATAGACTAACAGACATGTTAAGACTGCACACAAACACACAAAGCAAGACGTACACCTATTATATCCAATAAATCACCGACCACCCAGCAACACAGGGAGCAAATACCGTGTCCGTCTCTTTTCGCTTGTTACCCTGTTACTCCCGTGCAGAGTTTCTCTGCAGTGGGCCGAGGTGCAGCCATATATCACTGAGTTAGCACTGTGAAAGTTCATGTTATTGTAGTGATAAATGTGATTGAATGGGCGACTTAGAAAGTTGCAATCTGCTCCGATCCAAGGTTGCATAGTCATTATAAATATGATAAAAAAAAAGAAAAGAAAAAAGAGTAAAGGCTTTATCTTGACAATGAATGAGAATCAAAGATGAAAGAGACACATTTGTACAGTTTGGAAGGAAAGTCTGACTCTGTGCTGCGCGAGTCGTCCGTAACTGAAAGGTTTTCGTTGATGAAATATTAAGACAGTAACATCTTGACAGCGATAAGCATTTTATTTTCACCCTCTCAACAACAATTTCTTTGTGTCTTAATCTAGATGTATTTTTTCCACTTTGCTTCGCCACTGACTTGTTCCGTTCCTTCTCAAAAGCATTTTATGAGTTGTTGTTTCCCACGGCCTGGTTATTCTTTGTATGCTGATGTGAATAAATGTCTGAGAGACCTTAATGAATGGTTCGTTTTCCTTCAACCCTGCAGGAATCATCAGGACCGCCTTAGCTGATATGGACCGGGAAGCCAGAGAACATTACACAGTTGTTATTCAAGCCAAAGACATGGCAGGCCAGGTCGGAGGCCTCTCAGGCTCCACCACCATCAACATCACTCTGACAGACGTCAACGACAACCCGCCACAGTTTCCCCAAAGTATGTATAACACTGTATGAAGAGGACATTCCATATCACGAACGCTGCTGCAATCATTTTGGTCTGCATCGTAACAGTTGGCTATCGTGCATTAAAAAACAAAATCAGATTCGAAAATGAGATTAATATGAAAGTAGGTAGCATTGGAATAACGTCCAGACTCGTCTGTAGGAGCGAATAAACATTTTGCTTGCTAGCTTTCCAGGGATTTCGGTATTGGAGCCTCCCCAGTAACAAAGGCCCCAATACATTTAACATAAAAGATTTGTTTACAGTGCACTCTCTGGTTTTGCAGCTTTAATGAAAAGAAGCTCATTATTTGCAGAGACAAAATTATTTAACTTTTCTTTCATGTATATATTGATCAACCATTAGTCAGTCTTAGATGCTTGTTGGGAGCAAATCACAGATTATTGAGACCTCCCCTCACTCAGCATTTCCACTATGATGTATTGCACTTAATTACCGTGTGGCTCACTCGTCTAATATTGCAGTTAAATCAGCTAAATTAAACGAGCATTCATCCAAACCCTCTGTTTTGCAGACTGAATCTTCCCCGTTTTAATGATAAATGTAAGTAATGATTTAGTTGTGGTTCTTTGCTTTTCAAAGTGCCTCATCAAACACAATCCCCCTCCGTCCAGGGTTTTTCATTTTGTGCTGCAGCGGAAAAACTATTTCAAAACCATCAACACTTTCTGAATGATCGCCTGCCTCCGAGTTTGATCTGCTCCATTGCAGCGCTGTCTACCTCAGCTTAGCATTAAGCATCAATTGAACCACTGCAGAGTATTTTTAATGACATTCCCTCTGGAACAAAGGGTGACGGATTCAAATTGCCAAACCAAGCCCTTTTTAAGATGACATTCAGACAGCGATGTGGAGCAGATAAGTCTGTGTTTAAAACTGTTTTTTCACTGCTTTATCTAAGTGGCTACACATCAATATTCATCCACAGAAAATTACCAGCTGTACGTCCCTGAATCCGCTCAAGTAGGTAAACCGGTAGGGAAGATCAAGGCCAATGATGAGGACCTTGGCGTCAACGCAGACATCAAGTACAGCATCATTAACTCAGAGGGGGCCAACATGTTTTCCATATCCACGGACCGGGACACGAGAGAGGGAATCCTCAGCCTCAAAAAGGTAAACACGCGCTCTCATCAACACAGAAAAGAGATCTTTGGGAAATTTCTTTGAAAAATGTGCAGGGAAATGTCTGTTGGTGTTTGAATATATATGAAAATATATGAAAGAGTTCTGACCTCTGGCCGTGCTGTACAACGTTTTGATGTGGATGCAAATAATCTTATATTGTGTGCTTTAAATATTCTACCTGCATTAATGCACTGAAAAGTGTTGCAGAGCTTCAGTACACGAGGAGTAAAAGGAGAATGTCAGCTGTTATGCAAGTAAATTCAGTTTATATAAAAATAAGACTTTATCAAGTTTTATGCAGCAGGAAATGATAGATGATGTTTTACGATGGCAACTCTAAACTTCTTGTCGACACACATAAGCTGATCATGCAGATTTGCAGCAAACTATAACTTGCACGGTTCAGATGAAGTGTAACCACCTCGTACGACTGTGCTAATCACACATCCCCATGGTCCCTTTTCCCAACAGCCCCTGAACTACGAGAGAAAGAAGACATACACGCTCCACATTGAGGGGACGAATACACATGTGGATCCTCGTTTTTCCTTTCTTGGCTCTTTCAAAGATACAGCCACCCTTAAAATAACTGTCGGAGACGTGGACGAAGCCCCTGTCTTTTCTATGGATTATTATATCATGGATGTGTATGAGAACGCACCGAGTGGCACGGAGGTGGGCGCCGTAACGGCTCGAGATCCCGACAGCAGAAACAGCCCTGTCAGGTAAGACGCTTACCGCCCAGTGTACTTGTTCACTCGAAAGTGAAATGATTACAAATAGTGAGAGGCAGAGCTGCTCTGTAGGTGCACAGTCACATCGGTTATGCATCACTGGATAGAGCTGAAGATGTGTCGGGTTAAGTAACGTAAAAGTAAAAGGGCAAAGCGAGAGTGGTTGCTAATAGTGATGCGTATTTTAAGACTTAACATTCGTTCAGCTGTGACCAGCAGCCAATGAATGTCACTTTGTCAACTAATTGGTTTCCAGAAAAGTTTAGAAACGTTTCACAGTCTTCACCAGATGGATGAATATTTGCAGTATATGTATTTCTATTTATGTAGTAATACTTATGTTATAGTAATGCTTACATTCCTGACTTGTATTCAGTTGCTTATTTATGCATCCTTGGAGGTTTCATTTATTTTTTGGCATCAACCAGTGAGATCTCTCCTGCTGCAAAAACAACTGAGGTGCTGTGGTTCCACCCACTGAGATTTAAGTCAAGTAATAAGATTATTTCTGCCTCCAAGAAATGTTTGTCTTCCCGAATCTCTCATGTGCTCATCATATCGCTGTAGAAAAGCATCTAAAGACGACTTGACATGATAGTGTTCATCATTGTGCATATTTGAAATAATGCACGGTGCATTTTGAGAATCATTGGCCTACGTTTTGTGTCTTTATGCACCACATGACAACTAAAAGTACAATTTCTTTAAAATTACAATTACTTTGAACTCGTCTTGGGTCAGTTTGAAATAAACAATAATGTTAAAGAGATTCCCTGCCCTGTGCTAATTAGTGTCCAGTTTGTTATGGATATTGTTCTGCATTTGCCCCAAATGATTCTCCTCGAAAAAAATCTGTGATATGCACAGTAAATCTATCCCATATTTCTGCATCATCAGATATATTGTTATTTTGTTGGCAACCCCGTGAAATAACCTGAGGCGATACAACAGCTTAGCACATCTGTATGCGCTCTAAACACATGCTTGTGTACTCTTGAAAAAAGATTGATATTAGCCTCGGGCGGTGGACTAATTTCATGTTTTTGCTCTGCACAGGTACATCGTTTCATGACATTACGCTCAACTTTGCACCACTTGTGTTAATTTAAACTGAAACTCCTCATGAGATTGTTTACTGCTGATGTTTTAATAAGAAGCATTTGCTTTTGCGTGGTGTAGGACCATAGTTTAAAGCCTCCGCACACCCAGCCAGGTTTTATTTTAATTCCTGAGACCTGGTCAGGCTGAAAATGGGTGGAACTACAGTGGGAATTTATGATGTCACACAACTGTACCAACAGGAGTAATAACAGGTCAATGAGGGCGCTGTAAAATTAACAAGAGTGGAGCTGTGGAGCTGTGGAGCTGTCAGTCAAAGCCAATCTATGCTGATGAGAGGTCTAATCAGAAAGGAGCTGCGTGGGTGGACTATAGGTGTGCAGAGACTTCGTGCCATCGGCTGCAGAGCTGCACTAAGCTCAGACGTATTATATGCTACTGCCCCCTATGTTTTAGAAAGGTGAAATCTGCGCTTCCTCATGAATGATGCACGATTTGAAATGGCAGGAACACATGGGGTTGAGAAGTTTCTTTGATTTTAGGACTTTGTGAAAGATTTGTAGTAAACAAGACGGAAATCTACATATGAAAGAGATCCCTTCATCTCCTAGTGGGATACCTCCTCTTCGTCCATTCCTTCAGTACATCACTGCCAGTGTTCCCTGCACAAAGGGACGCGAAGGCACCGGGAGGTATTTCAACGACATCCACTTGAACCCGGGCAAAAAATTGAGCTCAACCACTGTGCCACTGCTCCCTGTGCCTGCGTGAGAACGCAGAATGCAGCTGGGATCAGTGCTTGGCTCCGCTTTGATCTTCAAAAGTCTGCCCATGCAAGCATTGAAATAAACATGTCATTGAAGTGACATGTCAAATGCTGCTGTGAAATTGACATCTAAATATCCAATCAAAGCCGTGATGGCTCATTACCTCTGGTTGCTCTCATATATTATCATGATCACCAGAAACAGTTGTGGAAACGTCTCAGCCTCTTTGTATCAACTAAGACTTTTATCTCTGGTAGTTAATACTTTACATGACATAACACCAAATTCAATACGTTTGACTCATTTTGTAGAAATATAAATGTAAAAATAAGTGTCTGCCTCTAAAGGCTCATTGGTCGTGGAAAGGAAGGCTTCAACTTTTGACGGCGCAAATTGGATTTGTTTTTTATCCTGTGGATAAAAAACAAATCCAGTTGGGAGAAAGATCATTTGGCTTGAATAATGTATATCTTTATGTTCAGTCTACGGTTGCTGCGTGATTCTATTTCTTCAATGCATAGTTTCAAATTAAAAGCAAAATAATTTCCTCTGTCGAAAGTAAACATTATAATGTGTAGCTATCTTTGTCTTGTTATCTGCAGGAACGTGAAAATAAACCATCAAAGAGCAAAATGCACGAGTGGCTGCGATGTTTTTAAGCTGAGCTGGAAATTACCTTTTACAGCTGAAAGCTTTGTTGCTCTTATGAGCCTCAACATTTAATAAATCACGGCAACATTTCTACTGAGGGTGCTGCATACACTTGTGAGTAATCTGTGCTTAAAAATTAGTTTTATTTCAAATCAATGCAATCCTGGCATTCATTTCCCTTTATACTATTTCTGTCTTCCAAGTCAACTTGGAGGCTCCTATGCTCAGCAGAATGAACACTGAACCAAGGTGTAAATAGGTCATTAGAAATGAATTAGAAAATAAAAATGTCTATGCTCATTTTGTGCTTGAGCTCAGCTAAAGTCCTTTCTGCTTTGCATTCCATTGACTGCTTAGCTTCTAGCTTGATGACAGCTTTGCTAGAAAGCCATTACAACAGTGTCAACATTGCAGGCAGAACATCGTCTTTTATCATTAAATATTGAAGATAATTGCTCGACTTAGAAATATGTACTTCAGAACATTCCGTCAAGACCTTGAGTCCATTTAAAAGCAGCTGGGATTATTCTTTTCATGTATGTGCATTAGCGGTGTTACTAGACTTTCAAAATGGAAGCATTAAGAACATTCCCTTCGGCTTCTTTCATTTCACCGCACAGTTTTGATTTATGATCATTAACGTGCGTTTTATTTGATAGTTTTATACATTTTTGTTAATATGGAAGTAAATGGATATTTGTTTTTCTTGCTCCTCAAGTAGAATTGGTGAACTAAAGCAGGGCCAGTAAAGCATTTAGTGCCGGCATGGAGATGAGCATTTAATGGAGTTGACTGCTCGGCTTATGATGAGCGATACCACTTGTATCTTGCATCATCCGCGGCTCCAGACGGAGCTTTCAAAAGTTTGAAGAAACAACTTTGATGATATCAGATATTTGGAGTTTGCCTGCAGAATGCTAACTACTTTCAGAATGCCTGTGTTACAAAGTTTGAACATCGAGTTTAAAAGACGCTGGCTGCATTGGGGGATTCGAAGGTCATAGAACTTTTGGACTTGGCATTTGTAGTTTGTGCATATATTATGTGTTTCTTATGAGTACTCGATTTTAGTTTGAATACCAGACTTCCAGTTACTGCTCCACGTTACACAGCTCTGCATGAATATATTTTAAGTTGGCTGTGGTTGGAATCAAATCTTTGAATTTACAGTTGCACTCCGACCCACATCTGTCATGGACGTCTCAACAGAGCTTGAGCCACTTTGCCCGAAAACATCACTAAAATTAAAATACACCTCAATGTCGAAATCACTGTTTTTACATTTTAAACCTTGTGAACGAAAAGATAAAATATTTCTGTCCTTAAAAAAATCAGTAGAATCTTGTCCCTCGTCTTCTAGGTGTCCACCACTGCATTTTTTAAATAATCCACCTGAAGTGGACACATTGGATAATAATATCCTTTCCCGACAGGTATTTCATGGACAGCAGAGAAGAAGGGAAGAGGTACTTCAGAATCGACGAGAGCTCTGGAGTCGTACGGACGACGCAGCCTCTGGACAGAGAAGAAATGCCGTGGCATAACATCACGGTGATGGCCTCGGAGGTTGGTAGGTACCAAGGCTACTTTCCATTAAGCAAAAGTTTACAAGTGGTCGAGTAAATGCCGTGCATCTTGCTCTGAGAGTGTTTGGGAGGTGGAGTGGTTTTCTTTGAATGTACTGACACTTAAACACAGCATTTGAATTTGCAAAAAGATTCAAGTTCCATCATCATCTTGGAAAGTTTAAGAAACTTTTGTGTAGTTGCTAACCCACAATTTCAGTTTATCTCATAATTTCCAAGCTTTTCTTGTATTCGTACTGACAGAAAATTCCCCATACACGACATTTACTGCAAATACTGATCCACCAACTACTGACATGAACATGTGGTGTACTCCTCCAATGATTGACACCTGGAATTCTTTAATGCAGCTGCTTGAAAGGCCTTTAAAAGAGAGTTCACAACATGAAACAAAGTGTAAGTGCCATTGTTCTACCCAGACGTTTTTTTTCTTCCCCTTTCCTACAAGATAACGAGACACCATGAGGGGATCATATAGTCAGAGAGAAGAGTGCAGGTTCAAATTCATGGAGTGTAAAACTGGAGTCAGAATCAATATCAACAAAAGAAAAGGTTCAGTAAAATGGAACAACTGTGTGAGTCTGTGCTTCGCCCGCCTCCGCTACCGGCTGAATAAAATCTGAAGCACGTTGTCGGCAGATATTCACTTTAATGTGTTGATCAAAGACACTTCACTGGGACACTGTAAATGTTGATGGACACACGTTCACTGTGCAGAAAACCCAGGGAACAAAATATTTAATGGTTGTCACCTGCAGCTCCTTCAGATCCGTCCTGGTCAAACCTGATCCTTAATCAGTCCTCTTACCTTTTATTTAAGGGAGTATGACAGTAACTACACTGTGCACACAAACCATTTCTGAGCACAAATGTTTTACTATTACTATTTTTCAGAGTCACAGTGTAATTTTTGTTTAATTAAAGGTTTAAAATGCATTATTTATCTTAACTATCCCCCTGCAAAGAGTAAAACAAAGCAACACATTTCTTCTTCTTTGGTGATTTTAAGGGCTTTTATCATTTTGAATAAGTAATTTGGTCAATTTCCAATCTTCATCAGTGGATTAAATTTTCACAAATGTCCAATTTGTGGAGTAAAACAATGTCTTAATAGAATTATTAACTGTAACCAAAGACCAAAGACATCAGATGAGTTAATAGTGAGATTAACAATCAAAGTCTTCAGAAAACTGGGATGAATGAGTGTATTTTGCATTTTGATTAGAATGCATTCAAAAAGCTTAGTGCATTTTCCTCTTAATTAACTGAAAAAAATCAAATCAGTCCCAATTGTTTCAATGTCCTCTCCTACATTGGAAATTAATTAAAATCAATGCAGGCCCGGCTAACTTCAAGAATGGCTATCAGGTAACTTGGGTAATTTGTAATCACAATTAGACAAATCTCCTGCCAACCGGTGAAGGTGCTGAATGCTAATGTGTCTTTATCTCCTCACCTCCTTAGTATTCAAGGCCACGGTTACATGCCAAGACACCATCCAAAGGCACAATGATCCATTTTTACCTCTTTAACCATGTTTCAGTGAACAAGGACATGGTGCTTTAGACACAAAGCACTCAAGTGCACAGTTGACTGCCAACCACCCTGCAGAGACTTTTAGTTTTTTCAATCAAATCCTGTGAAAAACCTGAACAGGCATATATGTATGCGGCAGTGGGGAAAAAAGGAAAAGTTCAAGGCACCAAATACTGAAAATGGACCTAAATGCCATAGAAAACTCGACATTTTTCAGGGTTCAAGCTATTTGTTTACTTGCAGAAAACCTTCAGAAACCGGGCCTTACAATTCTTACTTCCAAGACTTCTCTGTGTAAAAAGACATTGTATGAACACACTGTGTCCTTGCACCCTCTCGTGCATTATGAGGACAATATGCTGTAGTGCAGGGAGCATTGCTGTGAATTGGTATCAAACTGTTGACAAAAAGACAAATTACAAAATAAAGAAGGTTGTTGGTCCTGCAGCACGATGACGATGATGATGATCAACAGCATTAGAGGAGAACCAGCCTGCAAGGGATTTCTGCAACAGACGACATTTAAATTAAAAAAGGCAATAATTCTCATTTGTCATGATTAACATAATTTACATGGTCGACACTGTAAGTGTGAACGGCTGCTGGATTTTATATGCTTCAGTTTCAGAAACACTTGAATAACAGCTGGAACCTTAAGACGTTTTTAAACCTTTTGACCTTTTTGACACAAGATGACGTAAATAAAAAGCCTTAAACATTAATTTCATAGAAAGACTGCTGCTCCTGCACGGCTCTTTTCTGTTCAAGGAACGTCTTGCTGAGTGAGCATGCTATTCTTCAGTGCTGTCCTGCACAGCGCAAAATATACTCGCACCTGAAAGCCTCCCAGTAAATCTACTCCTCTTCTGCTGGGGGACCGAGGGACCGTGCTGGGTGAGGGTTAACCGCCCTGAACAGGGGCTCCGTCCCATTCCATAAAGCAAAGTAGAATTCAGAAAAGACTTATGCAGTATGATGCATTATCACTGCACACACACCAACGGGGACAACACAATGCTGCACAGTGATGATCAAATGTGCTTTAATACACAAAATTGCCTTTTGCAACTCTGCATCCCTCAGTGCTTTTATAGTGACGCAGTCTAAGACAAAGCCCATAAACAATCCGACATGAGGAGCACAGTGTGTCCCAGTTTAAAATTACAGCGTCGGTGCTCCACTTTGTTATTACGGCTCACATTTGACTTTCATCTTCTCCATCACATGCGCTCTCTCTCTCTCTCTGCTACAGACAACCCCAGCCTCCTCAGTCACGTCCCTGTTAACGTCCAGGTCCTGGACGTGAACGACAACCCGCCAGAAATAGCCACAGACGAGGAGGTCATTGTGTGTGAGAGCTCGAGGCCAGGACAGGTGAGCGTCGAGTGCCCACCCCAGAGGAAAATGCGTAACACCCGTGTGTCTCTGTGTTTGTTTTCCCCTCTCACCTCACACATTCAAATCTCTGCACACCTCGGAGGGAGAGAGTTGAGAGATCAGTCCTTCCTCTGAATATATGCATTCTGTTCTGAGCTATTATTTCCCTCAGAGGTTCGGCTCGCTCACTGAGAGCTGTATAGACATCGGAGTGAGCTGCTTAATCATCCCTCATTCAAAATGAGTATCTCATCAGCAAACCATGACAATTCTAAACCGAAGCTCATTCCCATTTGCTGTCTGCAGTCTTTGATTCATTTGAATTAAGAAGGTTTTTGAGCTATAGCGCAATCAGCAGCTGGAAATGGCCAAAAGACTGTTTCAGTGAAAGGATGATGGGAGTAAAAACCGGGGCGACGAAGCTAAATACATTTTTAATAGATTCAAGCTAGTGGAAGAAAAGTTTGAATTAAAGTTTACATTCTATTGGAATTACGTTTGCAGTGTAGCCTCAGGATTCGTGGCCCAGTGGGATTAAGTGGGAAGAATGATAATGTGCTGAATGAGACAGTGGCACCATTCAGACGACAAGATGTGAGAAAGAATAGAGCAGCTCATTAATGTTTTAAGATCTGTTTGCATCTCAGTGCTCGTACCACAGTGCTCGATATTTTTCTAATTAGTTGCCAAGTGTCAATCCAAACCAACAGTTCCAATTAAAAATTAAATCACTTTTATAAAATAAGAGTTTTTTTTAATCTGCAGGTGAACAGAGCTACAATGCACCACTGAGAACAGAAGATTAGTGATTGTAATTTTGAACAGAAGGTGGAGTTTGCCTGTAAATAATAAAATCATCTGTATTTTTGCATCTGAGTGAAATCTTCAACAATCACAGCACTGTTTTTCTTCGATGATCCAATATGAGGCTTTAACATCTCTGATGATTCTCCACAACAAGGATATTCAAACCGATCAGGCTTTAATGGCTTAAAAACCTGCACCAGCTAAAATAAAAAGGCTTTAATAATTGAATAATGATTTATTAGTTATAGTTTGGCATTTAGAATGAAACCACCTTTGAGCATCTTAAGCTTGGAACTATACTAAAAGGTCAATAACTTCTTAGATAATTCATAATGTTCTAAACCAAAAATTGCATTATGGTGAATTAATTTCCACTTACAAACCAAACCAAGACGTGAGGTTTCCTGAGGCTTTTCCAAGCAGCAGCCGTCTGTGTTGCTTCCTCTGGTGTTCCAAGCATCCCGTAATGCTGCTTCCTGTAGAATAACTGAGTGTTTTCTTTCTTTATCGATGGAAAACAAAATTATTGCAACTCAACTCGACACCGAAAGAAAAACAACAGTGCTCTGTTTCAACGAAAAGCTCCAACCAGTGCCGCTCCATCAACCGTGACATCCACACAAGTGAGCCCAAGCACAAACAAGCCCATGCTATCACTGCACAGTTAAACACAAAGGCTTGTGCGAGTGTACCGGCGGCACAGCGCTGCCTCGAATCTCACATGGAAGATAAGAAGTCCCCATGGTGACGGGGGATATTAGGTCATTTTTCTCTCAACACCGGCTCGCTCCCCGCTCTCACTGTGCCTTTTACCAATTAAGGATAACAAGTTGACATAAGTGGCAGCGAGGTGGCCCTGAGAGCTCCCCTGTCATTGTTAGATGCCAGCCAAATGCCAAATGCTCTGAAAGGCTAGTCCCACAACCAGCCGCTCTCTGTCGGGAAGGTGCAGGATAATATCTTACAAGACCAGTTGGTGTTGGGTCAGCGGAACCATGGCCGTGCACAATTATCGTCGACAAATCATGAAACAACTAAATCGACCCCTTCTCCTGCATGTGAGTAAAGTGGATCATATAGGGATGTAATGAGGGAGGTGGAAATAATTTGTCCTCTTGTCTTCTGGACAACAGGTGATCCAGACCGTCTCAGCTGTGGATAAGGACGACTTTGCCAATGGACAGAGGTTTTCCTTTGCTTTGCCAAGCCAGCTACCTGTTAATCCCAACTTCACCCTGAAGGACAATGAAGGTAATTAAAGTGATCAATATGTTTGTTTGCATTTCTTATGAGTTTTGCACTCTGCCTCCGGGGCAGGGCTCCATCCTCATCGCTCACACTCCCGAGATCCAATAAGCCGCAGTGATCTCCTCATACCTCGGAGGTGCAGTGAAAATAAGTGATCCGTCAAATGGTCACGGCGGAGATCTCGGGTCTTAAATGCCACTGGGATCCACTGGGAGTTGTGTCCTCGTGGAACATAAGAGTCGTAGAGGTTTTGGCGTGTTTTGGAAATACTGTTGTCAAATGGACTCCCCACCCCCCTCCCCCCACCGTACGCATTATTATTTTGAGCCGGCGCAGGTCCAACAGTGGGCGTTACCATGGCAACCGTCTCAGGTGAATACCGAGCCCGGGGTTGGTCTGTAATCACAGGGGTTTTTTTTTTGTTGTTGTTTTTTAAAAGCTCTCAGCCAGAAGATCTCACGGTTGCCCACTGAGAAGACGAGTTCACAGCTCTCCAGACGAATCTCTGAGCCAGAGAGAGGCAAACAGATAGTGAGAGGGAGAAAGAGGGAGGGAGAGAGAGAGAGAGAGGAAAGAAAAACCTCAATGTGATGATAAGAGATAAGTCTGTTTGGCCCTCGGATCGGTCGCCTTCCTCCACAAGCCTTCCCATGCCCACTTCAAGTGCACGGAGGCGCAGAGGCAAGTGGCAGCGAGAGACGTTCCTCGCCCTCTGCCACCCTCCGCTCGTAACGGCGAGATGAATCAAACAAGGATCGACTGCATCGCTGCTGCACGTATCTCCTCAAGGACAATAAATTAACATTTTTTAAAAGTGCAAATCTGTGATAAATAATTTATTTCGTAGTAGTTTGCCTCAGTTTTACACATATTGACCCAGTAGAGCTCTTCTGCAGTCAGCTGCTGGAAGTGAAATGGAAGTGTGATGTGTGTATTTCTGAGGAGGAGACAGAATAATTACTTCACTTTCTCTCTCATGTTTGATCGTGAAACATTTGTCTTGGGTTTTGTTCCTTCAGTGTCTGTTGCAGGAGTTTTACAAAAAAAACCTTTTTACCAAAGTGAAATTTGAAAGATTCAGAGTTCGGTTAAACACCTGGTCCGAATGCTGCAGTCGTTCTTTACGTGAACAATATAATGGAAATAATAATGTCCTCCATGGCAACAAATTGTTTTTGGAAGAGGTCCGCTTGCATCATTGCAGCAGACTTGAGGTCTTCCTTGTCCTCTGTCCTAAAACACAAGATTTCAAATCCAAAAAATATCTCCCACTCTCTTCGAGGTGTTTTTGTCAAAAAAGATTTCTCACAGTGAAGCCATCTGCCGCAAAATATCTTGAATGCATTCCGGAAACCAACCTTCTTTCTTGAAGGATCTATAGGAATATGTTTTCATCTTCTTTTGATGCAAAGCTGTTTGAGTAATAGTGCCATCACCTGCTGCTTAACATCCCACAGGATCTTGTTTTTGTCAAACTGTATCTGCCAGATAATCCCGTGTGGGACGGCCCGATTATGTGTGATGACACGGAAATAGAAAAAGTGTCATATTTTAATTGTTTGTTTCTGAGAACCTGAAAAAAACAAAGGGAATTAGTTCATTATGTAAGCCACAGTGTGGGATAAGTTAGGGATGAGCAGAAGGAGAAAAGAACAGAGATTATTTTTTTACACCCTGAAAAACCTTTCGTTCCTCCTGAGCTATAGAGCACAGGAGTGGGATTTAAACAGAAAACACTCTAACATAAAGGGAGCCTTGTATTTCCTTGTGCACCACCCTTCCTTTAACCAGGGAGGCTGTTAAAAGAGCATGCTCTGATTTAGAGGATGGTTAGTTGACCGGGGGAGAAGGGAGGCAGCTGCCCGGCAAAGCCTCTGACCACGGAGCAGCTAAACACCGAAGGCACACTTAAGATAGCTGTTAGTCTCCAGAGGCGGTCGTATTTTAACAAAAACCTTCTTTAAGATCTCTTTCTAAAAACTCTGGACAATGCTCGAGTGAACCCATGTGAGGATAAAGTATTATCCTGAGGATTCACGTGTGGGAACGCACAACTGAAAAAGCATAAAGAATAAAAACAATCCCAGGATTAAAAAAAGGTTCGAGCCAAACATGTATAAGACGTCGACTTGGAAATTAAATGAGATTCGAGAGCTTTTAAAAAATAATGGCAGACGGCTGTGAACAAAAACTGATTTCTGCAGCAGGATTTATACGTCCCGCAGACTCTACCCTCACCTGAGCACTGCAGGATCTCCTGTCGTCATGAACCCGTCTAACTCCGACAATCTCCTGCTGCATAGTGCTCCAGAAAATGTTCGGATGGAATTGTGCAAACATCCTCTGGAGTTCATGTCGCACTTTAGAGACAGATGCACACTCAGCAGCAGCAGCTCATCAAATCATCATGTTTCGCTTCAGGATTTTCCCATTTTCCTCGACCCTCTTGCTCAGTTTGTGTTTGTGTTGCTGTCACTTGCTCACCTTGAATAACTCGTATCACACACGGTATTTTTATATTATTTCCTGCATCTGCACAATTCCCTCTTTTTAACGAAAAACGCGCCGGTCTCCAGTCGCTCTGACCCTGCGTTCTCCCTCGGAAGAGACGTCAGAGGAGTCACATAGCGTTTGACTGCCACCGTGCATCAGAGGTTATTTTCTGTGTTCACGATATCTGGGTGAAGGAGAGAGAGAGAGAGAGAGAGAGAGAGAGAGAGAGAGAGAGAGAGGCACAATGCACCATACTGTTGACTCCTGTGTCTGATAATTAAAGTAAGCTCTTCACACTTGAAGCAGCTTCGCTCATCGCTGTTGTAGCAGACCAACAGTTGGTGGCTGCTCCGTGCCAGCGTCTAATGCCTCCCTCTGTTGTTGTGCAACTGACGAAAATCCCTCTCAGTCACTCACATAGCTAACTCTCTGGTGACCTCCTTTCCTGCTCAGTTAGAGTTTGCTCACAGTGGATCATCGTGGAACTCAAATCTTTTTCTGTCTCGACACTCGGTTAATTTAGCAACTGTGATTTGTAAAAGAACCCGTTTTCCTCATTGCAACCATATCAGATTCCTTTAAAGCTGTGATCTTGTTACAGTCGGTGCTTCTCCTGCAGAGACATGTATCAGCTGCAGCTCTGTAGAAAACACAGATTCCACCTTAAAATTAGATCAAGGCCTTTTTTCCTATTGGCGTTGAGTGGCAGAGATCTGCACTTTGAAACACTGAAATACTGATTAAGTGACTTAAACAGCTGTTTTAGGGGAAAACGCCCATTTTGCTAAATATCCACATTATTATGGACGAGTGTCAGATGTTCTGTATTGAGCGCAGGTCAAACTCCTGCAGGAGACATGGAATCTTAAAAGCTGAATGCCGAGGCAGATGCTCCTGCTTAGCAGCTGTTTAGCAGCTTTGTGACAAACCTGTTCTGTTTAAAGGCCTTTAAATATATTCACCTTGACTGATCCTACTTTACAACGCTGCTTTCATCTCGTCAGCGGTCACATTGTGATGACATTTGTTTCTAAAAAGGCAATTAAACTGAGGCTATGATCTCTAAATAACCCACATACATAAATAGATCAATTGGTTTCTGAAGGCATCTTCTTGCAGGAGACCTCATAATATTACAGTTAACCAGCTGTTTTGAAACAGGAGCTCTCAAGTCATTGATATGTGGGACATTTAATTAGCCTTTGTGTCGTTCACACTTCACTTGCAGTGTGTGTGATACAGCGAATTTCCCAAACGGCTGTAATCTGCTGAAACAGCACAATCTGCATGAAGAGGATCTGTCCGTCCTGCGCCGGCTTTGTCAAACAATACAGAGCTGAAAATTATCACACCCTCACTCTGAGATGTTTGATGAGATTTTCTATTATTATTGATTTCAAACACAATATTGTTTCTGCACAAACATTGGTTGACGGTTCGGACGTGGCTGCTGAGGTGCTGCTTGTACAATTTGTTCCTGCGCACATAATAAACACACATTCCGGTACCTGATTGTTACTGCAGAAGCATACACACGATAAGAACGTCGAGCACACACAACACGGCCTAATGAAGCAAACATGCAATATGGTGACAGTGTTAATTCACTGAAAGCTGTTCCCTTCCTTTTTTAAACCCGGCCACTATCTGTTGTCAGTTTCTGGCTTGTTTTGCTAAACTAAGCTTTACTGAGTCGGACTAATCCCTATTGAATTAGAGGTTTGTTTCAAAGGAGATCGTTATGTTTGTCTCCTGATTGTTGTTCTGCATGAGATGCTTATTATTTCTGCACAAAATTATATTAGTATTTGTACAATGCTGTGCCAGTAATCAATAGTCAAAGCCGCCCTTTATTAACGCCAGGAGGTTCAACGATATCTGTTTCTGCCGCCCTGCTCTGCCTGGTCCAGAAGGTACAGGCAGCTACATTTTGCTAATATGGACTAATTACAGGCTCCATCTTGGCGCATGTCAGTAATTTCAAAAGTGTAGTTTTCGTCCAGGAGGTTTTGGCAGAACGTTAAGTGTTAATTGCTGGTGCAGATGCTAATGGAGGGGTTGACATTGTTCAGCTCATTTCAAGTGACGTCATTAATCTGAAAATAGCCTGCCATTGTATTTTATGACAGGATGTCTAGAGGGCTCGTCACATGATGCCATATTTATTTAACTACACCAGTTGCACATAGTTTCTAAGTCCAGGATCCTTTTTCATGTTCTCCCTGTGTTTGTGTGGGGTCAGGTTAATTGGAGACTCTTAACGAACTGTAGGAGTGAATGTGAGAGTGAATGGTTGTTTGTGTCTGTGATGAAGCGGCGACCTGTCAAGGGTAAACCCCGCCCTTCGCCCAATGTCTACTCTGATTGGCTCCAGCTCCCCCTGCAACCCTCAAAAGGACAAGTGGTATTGATAATGGACGGACATATTGTCTATTTAAATGAACCCATCCACTTTCGAGCCAATATCCTGGATCCATGATCTTTATTCACAAGTTCACTGACTCAATAGAGCCATACAATTATAATTAACCTTTTAGAAATCTATCGAATCAGAGAAATAGATGTAGATTTAAATACCTCACACACTCCTCATATCCTCAAAGTGTGACCCAGTGTTCAGAGCAGTGTAGAGGAGACATCGTGCTGAATCCCATCAGTGGCACCTACACACACGCACCCAAGTTCACCAGGAATCCAGCTAAGAGCATGTGTAGGCAAGTGTGAAGTCTGCTGGGATGCGTGTCTATTGTTGATCTATTCTGGGTTTGCATGATGCAGAGAATCTGCTCTATGGCACATGAGGTGTTTGCTTTCATTATATGGAAAAATACCTTTATTATTACTTTTGTAAACCGGGGTTTACCCGTTTAAACACCCTCAGGTAACTCGTTCATAATCATTTAACCTTTAAAACCCGAGAGGGAGTTGAATATGACCCTACAGATCCGTGGGAATTGGGTGTGAAAGGCTATGACAGGCTGTGAAACTGTTCCCACGTCAGTCCTACACTTCTGCCAGTAAAGTTTTATCTGATGCTGTGAAAGCTAAACTGACTCTATCCGGAGATGGAGAAACAGGGATGCACAAGTTATGCAAAAGTCGTGTAAGTGATACTCATGCTAATGCTTTTGGGAAAGAAAAAAAAACGTGAGGCCATTTGCCAGTTAGTGGTTCATGCTCTGGCCTAATGAACCAAGTGCTAAGGGACTTCTGCGAGGTTGTTTAGAGCCCCACACACACATGCATATTTATAAATCTGCATTTTCTCATGTGATAGAAAACCAGACACCAGGAGAAAAAAAAAAAAAAGGGAGAAAATTACTTGCAAAATGACATTTTCAATGAAGCGTGAAATGCTCTTAAAAGCATATTTCCCCTCCTGGAGGGTCACCTGCTTTGCACCATGAGCTGTCACAACACGGTTAAACTGTGGCTGCGCTAACTCGTGCTGTCTCTCCTCTTGCGTGGAAATGCCACGTGGCTGCAGATGGCCCGACTCGCTGCGGCGTTAATCAACAAGCGCGCAGCTCTTTACCACCCACCTGCGACGAGAGGTGGTTTAATGTGGAATTAGCATGACATAATGGATGTGCACTTTCTCACTGTGGTCTGTACAAGGACCTGTGCGGCTGTGACGGTGAACAACACGTACACACGGGTTGTTTGTCTCTCTCCTCCTCAGCTTCCATCTTCTCTGCTCTCCATCTCTCTCTCTCTCTCTTTTTGTCTCACACATGCATCCTCCACTCCCCCTCCTCCTCCCCCTCCGCTCCTCATCTCTTCCAACTCCCCATCTCTTCCTTGTTATTTGCATCCTTCACTCTCCGCACCCTCGAAACCCCCCCCACCCATCTGCTTGCTGATACGGTGATACTGCGAGTCTGACTTAATAAAGCTTGAAGTACATGTTGTCATTCCAACTGTCGATCATTATAATTATTCCGAGATGGAGCAGAGATTGGAGTGGGAGGCGAGGTCTCAGAGCACCGCCATGAAAGTACAGCGCGGCGGAGGTGGGTTTTTTTTCTTTTTCGCTGCGTGGAAAGGAAAATGGTTGCCCTGTGCACGATTCAGCATTTTTTTTTTGGACTTCAAATATCAGCATACAATATGTCACCTGCGAGTTTCTACTGAGGCCCAAATTAGTCGTCGGAGTACTGGAATCACTGAGGCATGTAGTTTAGGTTGTACAAATACAATATCTGTGGTTTGCTTAATCCATACAGAGAATGTAAGCACACAGCGGAATAAAAGATAAGTAATATGTCGTAAGAACGTCAATATACATTCTGTTGTCGTACATAACCTGTCCGCTAAGAGCTTTTTCATCACAGTCTCAGATGAAGCAATAGAGAAAACACAGACTTCACAATTTGCACAATAAGCTTATTCTGAAGTCATATTTTACAAGTATATACACTTGTTAGAGCAGTTTGTTTATCCACCTCCTCTCTTCTGCTGACTCTCACCATAAAACCTTCCTCTGGAGCTCTCTCTACCTTATTCGCCTTTTCTTCTCTATGAAGTCAGCCTTTTTTATTTTTGTTTATCTACATGACATGTTCCATTACGAGTCGGGTGTTTTTTTTTGCAGAGGCCAAGGTGAGCTGCTCCTTTGCAGCTGCGTTGAAATAGTAAACGAACACATTTGAAATTAATTAGCACAGGCACAAAGAAATCTACCGGTGAATAAAAACAGGAAAAAAAATAAAACTTCAGCTCACAATGGTAAATGTTATGAATCCTTGTTTGTGTGACAATTTGTACCTTTAATCTAAATGGCTGTCGGTATAAATATGTAATTGCAGGCTTCGGTGGAGGAGTGATGCAGTTGCAATTTAAAGGAAACCATCAATTAGTGTTTTTAGCTAAGGGCTCTAATTTTCCCTCGCATTTTGTTTTTATTGCAGACAGCACAGCCAGCATCATTGCGAGGCGGAGGCGTTTCAACCACCTGACCCAGGAGCTGTACGAGCTGCCCATTGTGGTGTGGGACGGTGGGGAGCCGTCGCTTAGTGGAACCAGCACCTTGACCCTGCGGGTGTGCCCGTGCCAGCGCCACGGCAGGATCCGGATGTGCCAAGGCGAAGCGTTCCTCTCCTCAGCAGGCCTCAGCACAGGGGCTCTGATTGCCATCCTGCTGTGCATCGTCATCCTGCTGGGTAAGTTGAGACAACCGCTGTGGGGACTGCAGCAGGGGGTGGGAGCTGCCCGGGGGCAAGTATCCTGAGGGCATGGACGGAGGAGATGGACCATAGAGGAGAAGGAAAGGGTTTGAAAGGGTTTGACAAGGGCAGGGGAGGAGAGAGGGATGAATAGACACGCAAGGACACAGGTAGAATTCAGAATGAGGTAAGAGGATGCTGGCGAGGGCAAGGAGAGAGGAAAAAGCAGAGGACATAAAGGGCAGATGTGAGGAGGGACAGAAGGAGGAGGCTGGAGGAGAGGTGTGGAGAAAGGAGGTGGTGAGGCCAAAGAGGTGGGGAAACGGCGACTACAGGGTCAGTGCGATTGAGAACGGAGGCGCATACAACTGAAAGAATACCCGGAGTAACCCCACGGCGACTGGAGAGAGGAGCCGGAGTCTGAGAGCGGTTCATGTTCACACAGGCAGCTCGAATCACAAAACCAGATTAGACCTCGAATCACATTTGTTGACAATTTGAAATTCAATCCAAATCTGTTGCGATGCAGCTGAATCCTCCTCCTGCTGCTGCTGCGTGGCAAGTGTTTGACATCGCATGTTGTGACTGCGAGAGCGGAGGACAAGCGTGGAGGAATGTGGTGACAGACAACACAGATACCACACTTGTTGATTTCATGTGTGACGGACGTGTCGCGCACCTCGAATACAAAACACCGTCGGAAACATGGTGATGTAAACAGCGCTACTTCCATGTTTCCGGTCCGCTGCCGCGGCGCCCACAGAACATGTCACAGTGTGCCTTGTTACTATGGCAGCCGGTCTTTGAGGTGACAGCAAATGATTACACACACACACACACA